CCGCCACGGGTAGCTGGGGGAGGGAGGGGGAGGGGAAGGGGGCGAGGGCCCGCTCAGTGCCGCCTTACTGTAATGAACCCGCTCGCCCTATCCCTCACCTGAACCCATTGTGGCCGTCACAATGGACCATGATGAGGCGAAACTGCCCTCTCCCTCCCTCATAGCACAGGCACAGGGACGCGTAGGCGGGAAAGATGTGTAGAGGGGAGGGGGCGGGGGGAGGTTGCGGGTTAACTTGGTCTTCCCTCTGCTAACCAACAGTCGTCGCTGACATGTTCTTGGGTCTTCTGTGGTCTCCCGGTTGCCAAGTCTTTTGTCTGTGTACAGCTTTTCAATCTTGTTTGTTGGTTTTGACAAATCATCATAAATTTAAGTGTCGCAACAGTTTCCTGTGTATTATTACATTATGAGTTCAGAAATAAGGATGTCATCAGACAATAATAATATTTATAGCTCAGGAAAACTATTTATTGCAAGCATGAATGTTTTTTCTTGTACTTAAACTGAACAGAATCAAATCAACATATTTTTGTTTAATCATATAACAAATAAATTTTAAGATTAGAAAATTAATCGGAATCGGATTGATAAACTTGAGATAAGTCCTCTTCCTTTAAAATAGGAACTCTTTGATTAGGGTGCATGAGAAAATTCATGGTATACTTGTAGGCCAGAAGATTATCATTCAAGGCCACTGAGCACACTGACTTTTCAGATAAACATTTCTTCAACTCAACCAAGTTGGCAATGATTCTTTTCTTTTCTTTGGCAGATAATAGAGGTTTATGAAGATACAGTATGTCAATAACAACATTTTTGTAGGGTGAAAGTACATTTTCATCCAAAATGCAGCTGCCAGAACGCCCATAGAAAATTACTACGTGAAGTGGACGTTCGTTATCTTCTTCCTTGACTGCTTTCTCATGTATAGTCTTTAAAAGGGCGCTTAGTCGATAAGGGTAAGGGTTATCAGTCGCCTGGTTTGGAATAGCTCCATGGATTACTTTTAAGTGATCGCCAACTCTTGAATGAAATCCAGTTATAAGGATCAGTTGAGCCTTGAATTGACATACAGCAAACTGATGTTCTGGGTTCATCAATGACTTAGTGGTAATGAAAAGCTCAGCACAATTCTTCACTGTGTCAAACGTTGAAAGCTGCTTAACATGGTGATTAAGACTCCGAATGGGCTTGTCTTCAACAGCATCGATACAAACTAGTATTCTTTCTGGTGGACAAGGTTTAAGGCAATGAAGCGTCATTTTTTAATCCTGCAACAGAAATAATCGTGTTGAAATTTACAATTTTTCGTATAAGATCCAGGGTTACTTATTGAAATTAACAATGTAATAGAAAGTCGCAAATTTCACAGGATCTAATAACCGATCTAACCTCAAGATGGCACTAGTCACAAATCAAATACAAGAGCAAGAGCAAGAACAATAGAGTGGCAAGAGGGAGCAAACGGCACACAGGAGCAAGCAAAACAACAACAAACAGGACGCGGTGGGGGTGACTGACGAAGGAGCGGGGAGAAGGGGAAGAGGGGGCAGGAGGTACGTTCCCTAAGACTGCTGCTTTTAATGGAATGCGAAGAACTCTTATAACTCACGATTCCTACTCCATTATGCCAGATTATGCTTTTATATGACGATATATGACAATACACCACCTTTATAGGATATGAAAAAATTATTTTTGAAGGGGACAAAAGTCTCAACGTTTGAATGGCGCTTGCAAAAAGACCAGCTAAGACCAAAATAAAAGGAGGGCGACCTTGCCAAATTTCTTCTGCTAGTCTGCTAGAACGACTTACGTTATGTCGGGTTGTGTTGGGCTTGGCTCTTGCAATGTGCATTGGCTGCAATTAATGGTTTACTTCGTTTAAACTTTTGATTGACATTCCCCAAAATGAACTCAAATTTGTTACCACTACATCAGAAAATCAATCAACGTGTTGGACACATTGCCGTGTCATATAAGGGAAAGCTGTTAGTGTGGGGTGGTTATATGGTAAACAAATATTTTTTCATGATCATTTAACACAAATGCCTACAACTCCCTCAAGAATAGCTTCTTTTGCAATGCCAAAATAAAAGCGTATTTATCGCCGTGAAAACAATCATATGTTCTATTACTGCACTATATTTCTTTCCTTTCCTCATAGGAATTCTCCGACCCCTCAGAATCAGAGACCCACCACCATGCTACTGATGAGTTGTTTGTGTATGAGACACACTCTGAGATATGGTAAGCTGCAGAATTCTGATACTATAACATATTTTACCGTTTATTGTGAACTTTTTCTTACCTTGAGCTTTGCTTGCTTTCTAAGGGAGAGAAAATTGCTGAAAGGTGATATTCCACCGAGAAGTTCAGGTGGATGTGGAGTTGTTCTTGGCGATACACTTTATATATTTGGTGGTACGGAAAAAAAAAAAACACACATTCTGATGTGTTGTTATGTGGAATTATTTTGACAAGTTAATTTTCTTTTCTCAGGTGTAGTACGCGCAGAATTTGAATTTGACGGCAACACAAATGACTTATATGCTCTTAATTTGATAACAATGACTTGGTCTCTCCTAAAACCTAAAGGCACACCTCCAATTCCTTGTGAAAAATTAGTTGGCTGGGAGCATGGTGGAAAGTAAGTCACATATTTTTTTTTTAAATGAACCATAATGCTACTGGGTGACAATAACATAATGAATTTCCTTCAGGCTTTACTTTTTTGGTGGTTTTGGACCAATTCCAGACCGACATGTATTTTTCCAATATGTGATCGATGATGAAACAGGAAGTGCCTGGAATAATCAATTTTTTGGGTACAATCCCCAAACTAACAACTGGGAATGGCCCTATGTCAATGGGGAACCTCCCTCACCAAGAGCTGCTCATGCAGGAGATAAGTGTGGTCATCGAATATTTATCAGTGGAGGTCGTTTAAAAACAGTCAGAAAGAACGACCTCTATGTTTTGGACATGGACACAATGGTGTGGAGTGGAAAGTGGGTGTTTTTCATTTGTGTTATAAAAACAAACACAATTTTCGTAGATTTCTGAATAATTGCTTTTCCTTCTCCATTTTTTCTTGTTTCTGTCCAGTATAAATGAGAGTGCTGAATATGTACCACCTGGTCGTTCTTGGCATAGCTTTACATTTATTTCATCTCATCGGGCAGTGTTGTATGGTGGTTTTAGTACCTATAACAATGTACTAAGTAAGTATGTTTGTTTAACTATCCTAAATTATCATTATTATTGTGTTGGTGCAGAAAATTAGAACTACATGTAGTAGCATGAAATTTGCTCAGCTCAGAATGTCTTAACAAAAACCCATGACTAATATTCTGTCTTGAGTGAATGGTTTTGGCGTGAGATAAGATGTTTCACTAACACGTTAGCAAATTTGTTTATTCAACATCAGAAAAACACTGTCAATTTTACAGAAACAATAATTATCTATCCACTTACCAATCAATTACTATCAAACTTAGAGATTCTTAAGAAAAGAATTGATTGAAACTTCTTAGGTTCCATAGTTTTTTAGGGTCATGTTGATATGTATTATTAAATTCTTATTTTTATTCCATATAGATGATTGTTGGTTTGTGGATATATCATCTCATGAAGGAAACGTAACAGAAGGATCTACAAGTAATGCAAGCAGATGGAAAGTGCAGTACATTTTACCTCCTCATGCACAGAGATTTTGTCTAAGAAGGTTTTGGCACAAAACTGTGTTTATTGAGAAGACAGGAGATCTCATTTGTTTTGGTGGATTTAATCGCTTCAATAATCCACCGCTTGTAAGTTCTTTAAAATACATTAATCCCTTATTTACTCAAAATATTCTAGTGTCCAGGCAAAGACACATTTTCATTTATGCCTCCAGAGTTGTGTAGTGTACACTGAAGTTGAGATAACTTTTTTTAAATAAACTTTCAGATAGTTGTTCATGGAGATGATGAAGAAAGTATTCAGGATCAGGATTTAAAGCCAGTGAGTAAATATTTGTTCACTACATTTCAATAACTAAGTGGCAGGATGAAAAAGCTCACTGACTGAGGTACCAAAACATAGTAAAATATTTTGGATTTGTGATTAATCAATACACAATACTCACCCTATTTAGTTTATTTGTTCTTGTGTTCTCCTGGTTTCTTTTTTCTTTTATTTGATGTACAAAGTTTGATTACTAAATGTGTGATATCTTACATTGGCAACATTACCCCCTGCTCGGAAGAAAAAAAAAAAGAAATCCCTTCCCACATAACATATCATACATGATGCCCAGAACTTTTTTAAACTCAACATGTATGCTTATGAATGCTTGCATATTTTTCTAACATAATTACCAGCATATTTTGGAATAATTTTGTCAATATTTCACTTAGTCTCTATCTATCATCTATCTGATCTTTCTATGACTTTTCTCCCTTACTTTGCCTTTCAAAAATGGGTTTGGTGTTGATATAGATGACTGTTGGATCCTGGACATACCATCTTCTGATATACCTGTCCTGAAGCTTCCCCCAGCTCTATGGAGAGAATTCAAACTACCCTATGACTTTGGAGAACCTCGATGTGCCCATGCCGCCTGCATAGTTGGTGTTTTATTTGAAGGGTCATGCGACCTAAAAGAGCCGCGAATGGTGGTTATTGGAGGTCTTACCCAACCATTTTACGAAACAGCGATGAAACTGAAAGTAAATCAAACATGTGATAAGAACAAGATTTTTTGATTTATTTTAACTTGAGGCTTTTTGCACCCTGCCACTGTAGTTTCTACATTCAATCTGAATTACATCTTCTGATTTCTAAGGGCAAATTATTTACAATGTTATCTTACTTAAAAATTGTTTACAGGATCATACCAATGTTATGCTCACCATTCACTTTAGACCTTTGACCCTCTTAAGGTGAGCTCAGTAAAAAATTTCATTTGCAATTCTTAAAATTTAACCTGCCATCAAAGTTTTGAGAAATTTATTAAGTAGTCTTGTTTTTCTTCTCAGACCCTCGTTTTTGAAAATAATGGTTTCCTTATCTATTGCAGGCTTAGTCTGAATGCTGCTTTGAAGTACCACAAAAAAAATCGAAGTCTTTGGGAAACTCTCCCACATTCATTGCAGGCTCTTTTAACTAGGCGGTTTTCCCAAATTTACCCCTAGGTCTCCAAATAAAAGAGATTTTGACGCCTTCTCTTGTTTTCAAGAGTTCATAAATTAGAGGCTGAAGTTCCTATGAAGTAAGAGCTCTGTTCTGGCTATGGATTTTTTCCCCTGATTTTTTTTTAGTCTCTATCATATTTGAAGTGTCTTTTCATATCAGTAAATAAGAGCCTGTTTACAATTGAATGCATCACAAATATATGGATGAGGTTGGATGTATAGGTTTTAGGTTTTTGTTTGATCTCAAAGCAAAATTAATATACTTTATACTGCCATATTGCTGTTAGCAAGATTTTTGAATCTTATACTTGTGATCCACTTTTGTATTCACATACAGAAATTATTTCATGTGAAATCAACTGCGAAGAAACAGGTTCTGCCCTTTTAAAAAATCATACCAGTAACCTCATAGTTGAATTCTGTGTTCTATAAATTTGTTAATTCTTCTTAGATGGTTGGGTGTTACAGCATGGGACCAACAGACTCTAAAAGTGTTTCGTACTTTAATTTGTTTATTTTTTCTAAAGGATGCTATCTTGCGTGAAGTGCCTGAAATGTCATATGTCCCTCCGAGTTGAATACTGAGATAGTTGATTGTTATTTCTGATTTTTCTTCATTGGTGATTTTATCCAATTAATAGCCTTTGTTGCAAGGAGCTCTTGTTCTGTCTTTTTACAGCAGCAATACTCTCAATAAGTCTACTACTAAAGCTAAGTATTTTTTATTGATATTAGTGTAAAGTCTCTGCTGTGATGTTTTATTTATCTGTTAATATTGATTGCGAGCTAAACAATATTTGTTTTGAAGCTGGGTCATTTTTGTGTAATCAACCAATGTGTTCATAGAAAGTGTTGCCATATTATAGCTGTTGTTATTGTCCATATTATCATCCTATGCTAAATAAATGGTAAGTTCTGTTTTCCCATTCATGCCATCAACTTCTCCATATCACCAACCAAGACCCTGAATAAGCTAGTGCTAGCGGATTGTGACGGTCCATTGCCAAAGACCTCACCAAGAAAGGAGTTTAAGGAGACTTAATTAAGCCACTGTCGTCCTTAAGGGCACCACCCTTGTGGTCTTAAGGGGCCTCCGTTCCAGGATCGGAAGCGAGTGCCTCATGGCACTTAGCCTCCGGGTCCGGGTAACCCGTCGAGGCTCCAGCAGAGGCTCCAGCGGCTCCAGCGGCTCCAGCGAGCCCTCCCTCCCTGTCCCTCCCTCTCCTCCCCGGCCCCCTATCCTGGGCTGTGGGAACCAAGGTCCCCATGCACCTGCCCCCCTCTCCGCCCCCCAAGACCGGTCCCCCTGTTTAAAACCCCTCCACCTCACGTCCAACTACCTGTCTCCTCCCGTCGCGCCGCCACCGCTCCACACCGCCCCGCCCCGCCCCTCTCCAGCGCGGCTCCGGGAAGGGGCTCCAGCTCCGGGTTCCAGCTCCAGCAAGCCGGACCACGGACTCGCTCGGCCCGGCCGTCGCCCGTCGCCTCCCTCGGCTCGGCCCCTGCTCGGCCGTGCCGTGCTCCGTCAAGCTCAAGCCGTCTTGTCCGTGGAATTTGGGCCCGAGATGTAATGGCCATACACTCAGACATACTGGTGGCCCCGTAATGAAAATAATGCATCAGGAACATGGCGTTTCTGTGTCCTGTTCGAATAGGACGTAGCAAAAAGAAGAAAAGTAAGTTACTTGCGATTTAAATCTGGTCACCTACTCACGAGTTGAGCAATTGCGCCTGTGTATGTGGACTCGTTTCGTTTCGCCACAGGCTGAAGAAAAGACAAAGATTATCGGTACCAGGTAGCACTTGCACCTGTTGCACATTCGACCCGCCATTTAAATCTCGACAGATGCAAGCGTCTGTTTGTGAAAGAACTGTGAATATTTATGTGTATATCTGAGCTTTGTGCTATTTCAGAAGTTAATTAATTCGTTCGCAAGATTATTTTCGACTGGCTCTTATAACCTTATTTATATAGTTTTCATTTCAATTATTGACATAAACAAATTTTCTATTCTGAGAAAAAATGGTGTTCTCTTTAACAATTGTGATTCAAATTAACTTAATATCTCTTCTTGAAATTTGCTTGAAATTAATAACACTAACAATTTCTATCAATTTTAGGCTCTTCTGATGTCGAGAAAGATTTGTCTCGGGGTGGCGGCACTCCCCTGGGGATGGGACGCATAACAGGCAGCGCATCAATAGAAACTTTAGTAAGAGTTGGAATTGAAAAAGAAAATGGTTTATCTCCTGATAGCAAAATGGTTGTGTTACATGATTTCACTCCATGTGTTGACGATGAGTTAGAAGTAAAGAGAGGACAGGTTTGTCATCAAATTTCAACTGTTCCTTTTGTGTGCATATGAAAAGTTAAAAATTTTATGATATGTGACACACTTTAAAAAAAATTGCAGGTGGTTAATGTTTTATATCGAGAAAATGATTGGGTGTATGTCATAGCTGCAGATACTCGACAAGAAGGCTTTATACCACATTCATATTGTACATTGTACAATTCTCAATTGGGTGAACTTGCTTTAAATAATGTCAAAAAGAAACTGCCTCGAGAAGAATGTGGGATGGGTTCTTCATCAAATAACATATCGTCTGGTTCCAATGGTGCCACTAATATAAACGATGAAAATCAAGATCATCGAGCTGGTATGTGTTTTGGCTTTTTCAAACTCTAATTAGCTTATATAATTCTTCTTTGATGTGTAAAGGAATCCATAGTTATATTTCACTTATTTTAATCTACCTTATTTTATTTAGATATATCTGATTGTGAGAGTTATGGGAACAAAAAAACAACTGTTGCCACATCTGCTCTTCAACTTAATATGGCTAGCTCCCAGGCTTCCCTACATAGTGCTTCTTCTTCTCAACCTGAAGTTCATCCTTTCCTTAAGGTAATTTTCTGGGTCAAGACCAAGATAATCCTACTTAGTGTTACAGTTTAATGTAAATCATCTATTTCTGCCGAATCAGGATCCTTCAGGTCGCTATATTGTCCTCTACACATTCATTGCAAGAGATGAAAATGATGTCAGTGTGGAACGAGGAGAGTTTGTGACAGTTTTGAATAGAGAGGATCCAGATTGGTACTGGATTGTTCGAAGTGATGGACAAGAAGGATTTGTACCCAGTGGATTTGTTTATCCAGCAGATGTCATCCAAGGTATTTTAATGTTCTGTACCATAAATGGTAAATGGTTTCAGTTATTTTTGTTAAGGAACTAATTTTTTTTTTTTCCAATTTTGTTTATCAGGACACTTAAATCAAAATACTTCTCCTCAAGCTGCCAATTACCATACATCCCATGTTACCTCCCAAAGTACAGATGATCTCCGATATGGGACAGAACTTGTTATGCTTTATGATTACAAGGTAGACAAAATTTGTTTTCAGCTGCATGCTGTAACTGCTACTAAACAGAAGACTAATACCTTTGTCATTCTTTCTAGGCTCAAGCACCAGATGACTTATCAGTGAGACGGGGAGATTGGATTCATGCTGATTTAGCAAATCAGACTGTAGATGGCTGGCTGTGGGCTTATGCCCCCAAAACTCGGAAATATGGATTTATCCCTAAAGCTTATGCAAGACCACCTGCAATGACAAGTTTATAATTTATTTTTGGAAGGCTTCTAATATTAGGGTATTCACTTAACTAAAAATAAAAAAATAAATTTTAAAAAAAGAATATTTATAGAGAAATGAGTGTAAGCAATTGGTGTTGTAGAAGCAGCTTCTTTATTGAACTAAAAGTATTGTAATTTAATGCCATCTATATTTTCATTACTCTAAGTTTTGATTTACATGTAGTCTATTTTTATTATTCTCAAGTGGCATATTTAGATCTGCCATGTCCCTTCTCAAAATCACCATACCTACTCTCTGCTTGAGCTGATCTTATAACCAACACTAAAAACTATTGTGAGGATGTGAGGTGTAAAAACCCTGGTTTTGAGATAAACTATTTCATATGTTACATTGTTTTTCTAATTTTGTGATGAATTGTGCTCTTTTATTAATCTTTAGTGTCAATTTATATTTTATTTTATGAGTGCCATACTGTTAATATTGACTTGTCTGGGTAAAGCCTATTTCCATTTTACAAATCTATAAACCTGCGTGTACCTCATGTTTGACTCCATGTAAATGTAAAGGAAATAGGAGAAAACTTTGTAAGTTTCTGAATAACTCACCCACACGTAAACCTTTCACGTATTTCAAATTATGTGTTGAGACAGGTCTAAGCTGACAGCTGAAAAATGAGTGATGATTCTAGACTATCAGGAAATGGCAAACTCTAAAGTGCATAATAGATACTCATTTGTAGTTCAGTATTTAAAAGAGGGACCCTACTTTCTAAATAGGCTGTGTTTGTTTTTTGTTTTTCTGATTTTTGAATTCTAAAATTTGTCCTTAAAGCTTGAGCATATGCCAAAATACAGAACACCATGTCTGTTCAATGTAATCAAAGTGACGCAAATATATCTTATCACAGCAATCTGTAGTTGACAAGTTTCATTAGAGAGAAATATTCTGATGTCATTAATTAATATGAAATAAAGACATTATTTATTATTTCAGGCATTTTTTCAACATAACAACCTCTGTACAAAACATCGACAATTCTCTAAAGACAAGAAGTTCTAGTCTAATAAACTTCAACTTCTTCAGCATTCTTATCAGATTTCCTTGCTTCCTCTTCAATTATCATCTTCAAAGTTGCTTCAACTTCTTTTATTTCCTCAGAGGTAAAACTGGGTTCAACACCAAAAGATTTCTCTTCCTCAATAATTGATGTCATAGTAGAAAGCTTGCGCTCTAAGAACTCTCTTTTCTGGGAGTTCAGTTTTTCTTTGTATTCATCCAGTTTTTTCTGCACAACAGCTTCACAGTACTGTTCAGCTAACCATCTCATGGACTTCTTTCTTTCGACTCTTTCATGTGACCTTTAACAATAATTATAATGATAAGTAATACAGAGTTAAAAAGATCCAGTTACAGCATTGAGCAGAATATAAAGAATTGTGTAAAATACAACTTACGAAGGTGCAGGCTTAAATATAAGATCCAATGTTTCAAGAAGCCATTCAAATCTCTTGTAATCCAAAGTACGTAAAAGCTTCATCCTCTTTTTGCGCAGGTCAATAATTTCTTTAACGTCTGCCCTTCCCACTTTATCATATGGGTAATTGGCATAATGAACCTGCATATTTCGTATGATAGCTGTCCATTTTGCAACTGAAAAATGAAACAATTGTTACGTACTAACTACAGTTAGATAAATAATATATACTGAAGACAGCAAAGTAAATGAAAAATAACTCACTTTTACATTCAACAGATTTTGTATCAAGTACATGCCTTTTCACTTTCTGGATCATAGAATCTTTCATCGCCTGTTTCCGAACCGAGCTAGGTTGAAACTTTAAACTCACGATTCGTTTCACATGTTCAGATGCGCTGTCAATAAAACAGATAAAACTTGATGATTTCACAGTCTCCGTAAAAATGTAGAAGTCTCACTTAGAAATCAGGAGAGGTCCAACTTACGTCTGATACTCTTTCGATTTTTCATAAAGTGGTGGAGGTTTGTCATAATCAATTTCAGGAAGACCGGATAGCTCCCCCGATTTTTGTGGAAGAATACATGGAACTTTAACTGGCCGTTCCCATTTTATTCTCTTTTCCACTTCAACTTTATGTTTGTAAAAGTTACGGCATGGCACTTGGTGACAACCGGCATTAAGGGAACTAGAAACTGCCTCAAAGGCAATGGGTATACTTTTGAGAGAGAATTCCCTTCTTAGGTTATAAACACCATCTTTAGTGAAAGATGAAACATTTTGCAGGACATTTAAGCTCCTAACTCCTCTTAAGGATATACTCATGTTGGACAAATGTCATCCAGTTTCCTTGTGCAGCTGCTGAGTAATTTTTGCCTTATTCTAGGACTAAGTGTGTTAAACACCAAACATCACGACCACAGACGACACGTACCTGCAAATAAGCAGTATCCTATCGGGCAATAGTGGGCAGTGGCAGTAGCTTGTTTGCACTCCCCGCACTCTCCATTCGGCTACAATTGTGTTTCACACAGTCTGACTTCGTTGTTATGACTGTTAACTTTGGAATTTATTAGAAGTACCACCGGATATTGAAGGTTTGTTTCCATTTCAATTCTGTTGAAACCCCGACTTCCTCGACAAGTGTTCATATTTTTGTATTTCTAATCCGTCATTAACCTGAACCACATAGGTTATGTTTCCTTTGTTGAAGTATTGCAAGTATCGATTTACTCATGTCATTTATGGCAATTTTATGCTGAATGCAACATTCCCTGTCTGTGTCATGTAGCCACATTATTGTTTGAAATGCTAAGTCGAGCAACGCCTATTGTCACACATTTTTGTGTAGGCCGTCTATTATATGACAGATATCCCGTACCTTAAACCTGATAAATTGAGATTATATATTTATCCTGTTTTACTTCTTTTTCAGATATCTTCTTTTTATTATGGCTTTGTGAAATTTTGAAATGGACCAAATGAAAAAGGCCCTAGGTCCTGTTAAGAAAATGGCAAAACGCCTCTCTGGAGAACATCTTGGGGAATCAGTCATTGCCAATGCCTACTCCAAGCTGAAGAATGAATGTATGAAGGTTCTTGGGGAAGAACAGCCACAGCCTTTAGTTGTTAACAAAGAGGGCATTAAATACCTTCCTACTCCTAACAAATCTCCTAATGACAAAAAGGAATATAGAACTGTTTTGTTACCAAATGGCCTGACAGCTTTGCTCGTATCTGATGTGAATAATTTAGTTACTCTTGCACCTGAGGATTGTAGTTTAGAGAGAGCTGTCGATACAAATGAATCTGAAGATGAAGCAATGAGTGAAGAGGAAGATGAAGAGGAAGAGTCAGAAAATGAAATGGATGACTCAGAGGTGGAAGGTGCAAAGAAACCAAGCAGTCCAGAAGAAAAATTGGCTGCTGTTTCCCTGACAGTTGGCGTTGGTAGCTTCAGTGATCCTCCTAATATACCAGGTCTGGCCCACTTTTTAGAGCACATGGTTTTTATGGGCAGTGAAAAATTCTCTGGGGAAAATGATTTTGATGATTTTGTGAAAAGGCATGGTGGATATGATAATGCATCCACTGAGTGTGAAGCCACCAATTTCTACTTTGAATGCCAAGAAAAGAGATTGTTGCACACAATGGATATGTTTGCCCAATTCTTTATATCCCCCTTGATGAAAAGAGAAGCAATGACTCGTGAAAGAGAAGCAATTGAGTCAGAGTTTCAAATGGCTGTAACATCTGATAGTTACCGAAAACAGCAGCTTGTTGCCCAAATGGCGTACCCAAGCCATCCTGCTACGACTTTTACGTGGGGTAATTTGAAAACACTCCGTGACAGTGTTCCAGATGATGAACTTTACGAAGCTGTGCACAAATTTCGTGCTCGGCATTACTCTGCACATAGAATGACAGTTTCTGTTCAAGCTAGATTACCTCTTGATGTACTTGAAGATTGGGTGTATGCTTGTTTTTCTCCAATACCAACAAATTACTTGCCTCCTGATGACTTTACAGTGTTCCAAAACCCTGCATTTGATCAAAATCGCTTTTGCAAACTATACACTGTCAACCCTGTTAAAGATGTTTGCACTATGGACTTGACTTGGTTCATGCCTACACTTCGTCACCATTACAAAGTGAAGCCTACAGAGTATGTATCATGGTTTCTTGGTCATGAAGGAAAGGGCAGTCTACTTTCATTGCTCCGTCAAAAAGTATGGGCTTTGGAAATCACCACAGGTGTTACAGATAGTGACTTTGATCATAATTCACTCTACTGCTTTTTCACAATGTCTCTTTCGCTTACTGAAGCAGGCCTCAGAAACATACCGCACATTATTGAAGCGGTATTTGGATACATAAAAATGCTGAAGGATAAGGGACCCCAGGAATGGCTCTACAGAGAGATGCAATCCATAGAAGATGCACGCTTCCGTTTTGAAGAGGAGGCATCTGCTGGAGACTATGTGGAGTGGTTGAGTGGAACAATGCAAATTTATCCCCCTCAGGATTACATCACTGGAGAGGATTTGTTTTTCGACTACGATCCATCCATGATAACTGAATGCATGAATTTTTTCACACTTGAAAATATGAACATCATGATCAGTACAAAGAAACCATTAGATGGTGTGGAGTTTGACCAGCTGGAACCTTGGTTTGGAACTCAGTACAATATGAGAGATATACCCACTGAATGGCTTAATTTATGGAGGGTTGCAACCCCAGACCAAAGCTTCTCTCTTCCCGAGCCAAATAATTTCATTACCACAAATTTTGATCTACTGGAAGTTGATAGTGCAACACTTGAGCAAAAAGAACCTGTGAAAATTTTAGATAATGACTACATGGAATTGTACCATAGGCATGACACAAAGTTCCGTCACCCTAATGCCTTTTTGTATATTCAGCTGGTATCACCTTTGAACACCCAGTGTCCTTATCATTCGGTTCTGATGGATATGTTCCTTATTACAGTCAAACAGCAAATGGTTGAAAGCCTTTACCCTGCCCGGTTGGCCCAGCTGAGCTATGCTACCATTCCAAATGATCGCGGGTTGAATCTTAGGTGTTGGGGTTTTAGTCAGAAAATTCCAATGCTGCTTAATGTAATTATCAATGCTTTTTGCAAATTCAAAGAAAATTTGAATCCTGTGATGTTTTCTGCTGTCAAAGAAGAAGTCCGCAAGAGTTACTACAATGCCCTTCTCAGACCAGAGAAACTCGCAAAGGATGTGCGGATGGCATTACTTCTTCAAACATACTGGACTCACTGTGATAAGTACAACACAGTTAATGATGTAACTATGGAAGCTGTGGCTGCCTTTGCTGATAAATTTTTGGACCAATTGTATGTTCAGTGCCTAGTTCAGGGTAATGTATCAAAAGATGACGCACTGGAAATATGTTCAAGCATTGTGAATACCCTAAAGTGTAAGCCTCTTCCACCTGAACTTATTCCCCAAACAAGGGTAATGCAGATCCCTCATGGAGAAATGTGTTGTCGTGTGAAATCATTCAACAACACAGATACTAACTGTGTAACTACAAACTACTACCAATCTGGTAAAGCTACAATCCGTGATGTGTGCATTGCTGAAATGGTAGTCATGTTGCTGGAGGAACCACTCTTCAACATTCTGCGAACAAGAGAGCAGCTTGGCTATGATGTATCTGCTCTTACAAGAGACACATTTGGTGAGTATCTTGTTCCTTCCACATACATTTGTGTACCTACAGACTGCACTAAACACAATTTGAAGAATGAGTGTGAACTAATAGATTTCAATTACTGTTCCAGGTATTCTTGGTTTCTCCATCACAGTTGTATCTCAATTTGATAGGTTTACAGTTGATCATGTGGACTCCAGAATAGAAGCGTTCCTGCAAACCTTCATGAAGGAACTGAAAAAGTTGAAATCTCCTGAATTTGATGAGGTTCTTCAATCTCTCATTAAGCTCAAACAATGCACTGATCTTCACTTAAAAGAAGAAGTTGATAGAAATTGGGAAGAGATATTAAATCAGGATTATATTTTTGATCGCAAAAGTAGGGAAGTCGAGTTTCTGAAAGACTTAAAACCTGCCATTATTTATAAATGGTTTAATTCTCATGTGGCTTGTGGAAACAAATCGAATTTCCGGAAGCTCTCTGTTCAAATTGAAGGGTACAGCAAGTCCTTGAAGGATGACAGTGCAAGTGTTGACACTAAAGATCTTGCAACTGATTCTGAAGAAGTTGATGAATGTCAAAGCAGTCAAAGAAATGTACCGGACAAATTTGAACTGGATTTCATAAAGATGAGCAGCATGCATTCTAAAGAATATTTTATTTCTGATATTAATGCGTACAAAAAGAATCTATGTGCCTATCCTCCACATAAAGTTGTGGCTTAGCCATAATGCTCTGTAATGGGAAAATTTTCAAAATTTTGCTGAAATTTTTCTGAGATTTGATAAAATACTTTATGGCTTAATTTGATCAGTCTTTGAATACCAGTTTGCTTTTGACAAAATGTAAGTGTGTAGTATTTGCACTCCTAATCTTTTCTTTTTGATGTGTGACTTATAAAATAAATATGAAGGCAAAGTTTACCTATTTATTAGCTTTTGTATTATCTTTGATTAACTTTTGGCTCATTGAATGTTGTTTCCATTTAATACTATCATTTACATGGTTAGTTATGAGCTTTGATGTCAGATACACTTACATGTGGTCTGCCTTGTTTCTTATGAATACCATTAAAAATGAATTGTTAAAATTTGCATCTTTTGCATTTGTTACTCTATTTTTTATTATTGGCTTTATTAAAAGTGAGCTTTTTACATTTATATGGCAACACTGCAAGTCTTGACACTTCAGATGTGTTTGCATACTACATATTTTATGATATTCATCATCTCCTAAAATAAAGGCATGGCTATGAGAGAAATGTGTTCTTATATTTCACACCCATTCGAGATTTATCTCTCTAAAATCTGTGAACATCTTCGGAACACACCATGAAGATTTTTACCTTGCCAAAATTAAAACTTGATATATTCTGTCTACTCTTGGATCTCAATTTGAATCTTAGAGTTGTTCAACTTCCCAGTCAAGCTGTGCTTCTTCATCTGAATGAAGTTCAGTTGATTGAGCATCACACTTTACATAATTGTTCTCCTGATAGTAGATAAAATTATGCTCAGAATAGAGGACCAAGTCCCAGTACACACATTTAGAATATTTCACTTACTTTGATTATTAATGGAACTGCAATTTCCAGCTTGATGCCTAGGTCAGGGTGAGGCACTGAAGAATCTATTTTATCGGGTACTGTATGCCCTTTGACATTCTCCTCTAATTCCTGCACTAAACTTTGCTGACCGCCTTCAGAGGTGATCGTTTTCTTCATGTCAATAGCCGTTTTGGTAACCCTCTTCTCTATTTCTCTAGATTTCAATAACAGATTTATTTTCTCTTCAGCTTCTCGAATGTTTGTGACCTGAAAAAACACGCTAAATCATTGCGTTCTTATCTAGTGCAGACAGTTGCATTACACTCAAATTTGATTCCAACCCCAAGAAGCAGGAGACACTCTCTTCTGAAGGGTGCATTAAGACTTTGTCTAATGACGGTGGCGAGAGAGGACGCAACTACATCGCTGTCATCTTTCTTATTTTCCATCGTAGCTCTTTGCCGGAACCTTAATACAAGCGAAAAAAAAAAAGATTGATTGAATTTGAATCACACAGAATAAGTCGGAGGTCGAAGACGTTTGAAACTGTTTGACGCCGTACGACGCTGAACCACTGTTGCCAACATTAAATCAAGTGAGTGAGAGGCTAACGCCAACCTTTCTAATCGTCTTACATGCACCTTCATTAGACGGGGACATTAAGGAAACGCTACCACTACAATCTCTGAACCATGTCCTTGATTCTCTCGTTTAGCAGACAAGTAACGTCGTCGCCATGCAGTGGTTGCACGGCCTGAAGACGATCAGCTGACCGCTGGACCTCCTGGAGCCTGGGAGCCCCTCGCTGGCGGGAGTCGTGTCGTGGGGTAGGGGCTCGGACTGCATCCGTTGCCCTTCGAGAACGAGAATGAGGCAATCGACAGGTGAGACTTGGTGAGGTGCCGATAGCAGAAGGGGCAGCTTGCGGCCGCGAGCGAGCAGCCCCTGGGCGAGGTTTCAGCCTGACGACGGCGACGCCGTCGAGCGCAACTGCAGCGTTTGTCACGCATAGTGCCATCGCAGAGTAATCTTCTCGCAACTCTCCCGCGCGGAGGTATTCGGTCCGCCCCACGCTATATTGCAAAATGGATGACGATTACTGGTAATATATAACGATGCCGGCGACGGCAACAGCAGCTGCCC